TGTACACAAAGTCTGGACTTCATTAGTTAGTTCTGTGGAGGAGAGGAACAAACATAGCCACAGGCTTACCCACCCACATTCCACAGCCTCTTGGTCCAAACCAAAGATGCCCAAGAGGGCATCTGACCATGATGCTGTAATGACAGGTGGCTATTCTCCCACATCTCTTGGTACTTCTGCAAGCCCCAGCCCTTAACTACTAACATCTTTTTTAAGCATCTTCGGTTAAGTTTTGCTAGTGCTGTTAACAATAGCTCCCAACTCTTGGGGGTGTAGTATGACAGTTGAGTTTTATTTTTGTACCTATTACAGTACAATGTGGACCGAGGTGTGTGTGTGGTGGGGGGTAGGGATATTCTCTACACAGTCCTGTAGGAATCCAGGCTGAAAGAGGATCCACTATCTTCAATAGATAGCTTCCAAGTCATTCTGGAAATTGATAATCCAATCAGCACACCCAAGAGCAAAGATTCTAACAAGTGCCATTTCTTTCTTGCCTGTGCCATCTGCCAGAACGCACTCACCTAACTGCTGGGTTGTGGAGAAATACAATTTAACTGCGTATCTCACAAAAAAAATTAATTTGATTAACATGCAGAATGGCATCTGTCACAAGCAGCTATTAATAGGATCATGTGGGTTTTCTCCTTGAATGTTAATAAGATTTCCTGCTTTTCACTGACCTTTACAAGTAATCCTGTGAGCTAGACTGCGTACCATTCCTACTTGCCCCATTACTAACCTCCCCTCCAAACCACAGGTAACATGGCTTGCTTCAGTAACTCGAGTCACTTTTTTTTTAAAAAGATTTCTTTATTTGAGGGGCACCTGGGTGGCTCTGTGGGTTTAGTCTCTGCCTTTGGCTCAGGGATCAAGCCCCACATGGGCTCTCTGCTCAGCGGGGAGCCTGCTTCCCCCTCTCTCTCCACCTGCTGCTCTACTTGTGATCTCTGTTTAAAAAAAAAAAAGATTTGAGAGAGAGAGAACATGAGTGGGGGTAGGGGTAGAGAGAGGGAGACAGACTCCCCAGGATCCCAAGATCATGACCTGAGCCAAAATCGAGGTAGCCACTCAACTGACTGAGCCCCCCAGGCACCCCAAGGGTGCATTTATCTTTTCAAATTAGTGTTTTCATTTTGGGGGGTAAATACCCAGTAAGGAAATTACTGGGACATATGGGAACTCTAATTTTAGTGTTTTGAGGAAACTCTGTATTCCTCAAAAGCCATTCACAGTGACTGTACCAACTTACATTCCCACCAACACTGCAGGGACCCTGGCCAGCCCTTGTTTGTATTTTCTGAACTTTGAAGGGCATGTACAGTGGGACCTTATTCATGGGAGGCCTGTGCCGCGTGGATCCAGAGTGCGTCTGTGCATCGGTTTTGTGTTTGCTTCTGCCAGTTCTTTACTGGCATTACCAAGCCATCGTCTTTTTCTTTCTTTGCTTTTTGCTTGTGATCTCCTGGATATCAAAATTCAAACCCAAAACCTGTTTGTGGTGTTGGACTCAAAATTTCAAGTTTTTAGCAGAGACCTTTTTCTCCACCTGGAACCCCTTCCTTGGTTGTGCCTTTTCATGGGTTTTCTTGGCCCATTTCTTCCCCTGCAGGTTCTAGTTCTAGCATTAACCTTTACAGCCCAAACCCTCAGACAATTGAGAGTACTGCCACTCCCTCTTGGAAGCCAGAGAGCCACCCCGTGGCTTTACAGATCTGGTTGTCAGTCCCTAATTATTTCAGCCTCCAGGGGATTTCCTTCACATTCTTGTGAGATCAGCCCTGCATATAAAAGGGATGCTGGTTGTATCTTCCTAGCTTTTCTGGGTATTTGAGGTGGTGGTGGTGTGGATTTCAAACTTACTACTCTAGGGATGCCTGGGTGACTCAGTGGGTTAGACCTCTGCCTTCGGCTCAGGTCATGATCCCAGGGTCCTGGGATCCAGTACTGAGCAGGGATCCTTGCTCATCAGGTAGTCTGCTGCTCCCCCTGCTTGTGTTCTCCCTCAGTCTCTCTCTGGGAAAGGAAAGAGAAAAAGGAAGAAGGGAGGAAGAAAGGAAGGAAGGAAGGACGGATGGAGGAAGGAGGGAAGGAAGGAAAAAAAGAGAAAAGAAGAAAAGGAAAGGAAGGGAAGGAAGGAAGGGAGAGAGGGAGGAAGAAGGAAGGAAGGAAGGAAAGATAAAAATAAACAAAAGATAAAGATAAAATTCCTCCACTGTGTGGCTGGAACTGGAAGGCCACCATCCTACGATTATGATTATATAAAAATACCACCAAGCCATGGGAAGGAATGCAGACAAATGGAAATAGATGTGCTTGAGGAGTGGGATTAGAGAGGAAACCTTCTTTTAAAAATTACTTTTCCATTACTGTTAATGCAACACAATTCAGGCAAAAAAGAGCTGACCTAGATAAATAAAGCTCTTAACTAAGCCAGAAAAAAGGAGCCAGCAGCACAGGTTTGGGGCATTAGATGTTTATTGAATCAAGATTTTAAATTATATCCACCTACAGTCTGTAAACAGATACAGTACACATGTGAGTAAAAGGCTCTTAGATTGGAAGTCGTGGAAAAACCAAAGATCCCTTCGTACACGGGCACCTCATCACTCTGTGGGCCAATGCCATGGGGCCAGGTTTTAAGAGTTAAATGAAAAACGAGCGGAGTTTAGCTCAACTCCACCTGCTAGGATGGATTTCAGGACAGATACTCGTTCCACATTATAGTAGGCTGGAATATAGCAAGGCAACAGTGAGGTTTTTACATTCACAGATTGGCTGAACTAGTACAAATTAAGCTTTTCCTCTAGATGTCTCCCTCCCTTTTACCATAATTAGTAAGAAATAAGAATTAAAATCAAACGATGGACCACAGGTGGTTACAAAAATAGATAACTCAGTAATAAATATCTACAGTCAGCAGAGCAAACTCGTAAAATTTGCCTTTTTCCATTAATGTGCAGAATATCAAAAGTCACGTTCAAGAGGTACAGTCGGCAGGCTTCAGATCGGCAGGAGAACACTCATAAAGAAAAAACAAGTAGGAAACCTAGAGCAGGAAGCTGAATGCAGATAAGAACATAATGTAAAACAAAATCCTAATTCCTCACATCTAGTTACCCTACTTAATAGACACAATTAGCTTACAGCCCTTTAAGTATCTTAAAAAGTAACACTTTATTATCTATGTACAAATTTTTAAGAAGATTAATCATGAGACAAGCAAAAATTGATTAACTTAACAGTGGCACGGAAGATTAGTGAAACTTGTAGATTTTGTGTGCTTTCATAGACTTCAGTGTATGAGGATTTAAAATACCCTCGAATGTTCTGGACTGAGTTTTTAAAATTTCCACAAAAATCTATTCTATAATCATTTCAGGTATAGAAGGAAAAAAAAAAGTCCCAAACTGGAAAACTTAAAAAAAAAAAAAAAAAAAAAAAGTCAAAATCTCACAAAGTGACTGAAAATCCATCAATATGTAAGTGACATTCATACGTTCCCTTAACACTTTCCAAGTGCTATGTAAGATAACTATAATGCTATCCTGAAATCAATCTCATTTAAGAAGATACAGTAATTCCCATTCTAACTGTAGAATTAAAAGCACTTATTCGACATAATGTGCGTTTCAGCGAGGCTGACCTCCACTTGGTTGTACTTGACCTTGTCACCTTAAAGCTTCATCAAAGATTCATTGCAGGCCTGAACTGTGAAAGTTCAGAGCTAACAATGCCACAGGTGGGTAAGTCATTCATCCTCACTTCTGCAGGGAGTGAAGGGTATACCTCGGCTGTCCTCAGGTCACAGCAGCCTAGATCAGTGTTCCCTTAAAGACTTGGCAAGATTCTCAAAGATACCTTGGTAGTCTAAGGTGTTTGGAACTTGCCGGATAGTTCCACTGACAAACTAACACACATTCTAAGACTTCAAGAGGGGTGTGCAGAGGCATCTTTTTCCAAATGCACTTGATCTTGCCGGAGAACACCCCAAACCACCATGGGATCCCAGGACACTCATGTCCTATGGGACATGGTTTGAGAAATGCCAATCTGAGCAGACTTTCTGAAGTAGTGGTTCTCAAGTTGTAGTGAGCATCAGAAACACGTGGAAGGCATATTAAAGTATAGACAGATACCTCACTCCCGTTGAGAAGCCTGGGGTGGGACCTGGGAACCTGCATTTCTGAGACTCTAAGGGAAGCTGATGGAGTGAGGACCACATTGAGCGGCAGCCGTCTAGACAATGGCCCACGCCAATCTCAGTGGCACAAAGTCCTGTTCGAGTCTCAGGAAAGGCTGCACATGCCATCTCCCACGACCCATCAGCTGGAGGTCGGATCGGCTTGGTGATACCTGAGGTCTAGGCACCATGGTGGGTGGGGTGGAGGAACACTGGACTTGACTCTCAGCTCTCCCCCTACTTGCCAGGTGACCAGGTACCACGACTGCAACTCAAAAGAGGAATAACGGGAGTCCCATCTCAGTGGATCTGTGAGGCTCAGAGGAAATGTTTGCACAAAAGGACTACCCAATAAAAAGCATCATACAAGGGTCATTAATCAGTAGAATGTGTCAGTCACAGCAGGGAAAGCCTAGATGCATTTTCTGCCTTCTGTTACTGCTGAGCCTCTATACGAAAGCACATTCTGGCAGCGAATGATGAGAAAAGAGGCTAAAAATGCAGGAAACTGCGAAGAGGAAGATACATAAGTGGATCACCCAATTAAAAATCTCTAATTGTTAAAAAAAAGATCAACCCACAATCAAAGTAGTTAATTATGCTGGCTTTGAGATAGATTTTTAAGTTACAGTATGTTGATCTTTGAACACACTCACTCCTCCGTTCTACCATGGAAATGCTGGTTCAGTTTTAACTTCAAGAGAATGAGAAAAAAATAAAATCCCTTCACTCAAATGCATATGGATTAGACGTAAAAAATTTAGCTGAGCTCATTCCCATCTTCTAAGCTACCATGGTGGGAAAATTCAAAAAGTAATTTTTTAAAAAGGACCTTTAATTTTGGTTCATAGAAATATCCACAGCATGAGAAATGAACATAGACTCACACATTCATACATGTGTCTATTTGTTGCCTACCACATCTCAGCCAGTGAACTGCGTCTTGCAATTCAAAAATGAACTGGTAAAAATTCATCCTCACCCACGGGATTATGGTCAAGCAAACATCGTGTTGCCCGGTCTCAGTTTCCATCTGAACAAAAAAGACTGATCAGAAAGGCAACACGTTCCCCACGACGCTGCACCATCCACTTTAGACGTGCTCTGGGTGGCTCTGGAGACAGGACAACATCTCTTGAACGGGTTTGCCTTCATAGCAGATCTGATACACTGCCGTAAACAACGGGAACCTGGTTGGGAGGAAATGTGAACAAAGGCAAGTTGAGCCATCTGGTTTACCTCACAGAACAAATGAGCCTTCCTCTCCTCCCTAACAGATTACAGATGCGTGTGCTACTTTAGACAACAAAGTGAACGCCGTCTATTATATTCCTCTATCATTTGGTGGGCAGAGAGCCTCTGCACGGTGGTTGTAAGATGTTGCTATGACCTAGACCATGCTCCGTCTACTTGTTTGGTGTAGATAGTCTCCAAACAAGTCCCACGGTAATCCTTGCAGGGCCATCTGCGGCCATTCACACCAAGAGCTGTAGCTTGGGCTCTTGGGCAAGTCTGGAGTGAGTCCAAGCTTCTGTCAATAACTTAAAAGACTGGAGAATAAATTTCAAATTGCAAGGAGGTATCGTTCTCCCTCCTCCAAAAGGGATCATCCAAGGATAAAGAATGAGGCGGCCCACGTTTCACCATAAATAGCTCCAGTCTGGAACGTTCCTGCAAGAATCAACATGGGCACCCACAATTAGCAAAGCACTGATCTCAAGCTGGAAGCTGGGTTTATTTTGCCTTTTCTTCCAGGCTGCGAACACGGACATAAATGAAAAATTTGAAATGGCTGAGGGTACAAAGGTGTGGGCCAATAATCCACCGTGAGAAAGGACAGCATTATCCCAGGGTCCAGCTGGCGCAGCAAGTATTTTGAACAGCAGGTATCATTAAGGAAATAACAAAGTTAATTTCAATCAGGCTTCTAGACACACACACACACACACACACACAGAGCCCAAAGTAAGCTTGACAAGATCAACAGAGTCTTAAAGGCCATTCTGAAAATTATCTAGCTGGAATCCTATAATGACAACTTAACTTACGAATGGCAAATAGCCCTGATAGGTCATATGTCTATCACTGTGGGTTTTTTAAGGTACAGAATGTTTTGTTTTGTTTTTGTTTTTGTTTTTGAGTCAGGCAGGCAGTCAAATCCAGTCTGTCTGCTCTGGGCAATTTTCACAACCGCTCTGTAAAATGGGGCATGACATGTTGTGTTAAGGCCTACTGTATGAAGTGACTTACACATAACCTGCAGAGTAGAACACTTGTCATGTGGCAAGTGTGCAGTTAAGTGACAGTTTATACACGCAGCCACAAGACAGCCCCTACGTCCTAGCAAGCTCTTGGAGGACAGGGCTCCAAGTGTTTTATTCACTTCTGCATCCTTGGGACCTGGCACAGTGTGCACAGATTGAGAGCAGGTGCTCAGCGAATACTGCTGAATGAACACTGGGAATGGGAGTTAGAGCCCACAGATTTTAGCCCCTTCATCTTTCCATGGCTTAGTTTTCCTGATCCCATTATTAGAACAATTTGTGTCTCCCCAGAGCAGGGTAGCAGGTGATGAATGGCCACCCGAAGCCATTCCCAAATCCCTTCACTCTTTACCAACACTGCAAATAGCCTAACGCTCCATTTCCCAGCCTTACTTTCTCCTAGAATTAGCCAAGGAAGCAAATTCTAGAGAGTAAGACCCAACACCTCTGCTGAGGAAAATACTCTTCTCCTTGAGAGGCACTGGAGGAAAATTCTGCTTCCCCAGACTGCACCTGCTCCATGTCACTGAGCGCAGCTGTGTATGTGATGCACGGAGCTGCTGCAGCCATCTTGAGGTTTTGAGGGAAGACTGACAGGATTACTGAGATTCTAAGCTAGAGGCACTGCATCAACACCAATAATGTCCACCTCCAGAATCCTCGTTCCATGAACAAAATAATCCTATTGTTTGAGGCTTTTTAAACTGGGCATTGCGCTTGCAGCCAGAAATGCTCCCGACTTTCAAATTGTATAGATGGGATGCTAACAAGAGATTTGGAGTACATGTGTGGGGGGCGGGGTGGGGATTTTTATGGACAAGTTACTTGTTTATTTTTTCACAACCACCCTATGAGATGGATAATATCCCCATTTCATAGATGAGGACGGAGGCACAGTTTCTAACTCTGGAGCCAAGATTCAACCACTAGGCTATACTGCCCATCTAAATGTTATTTTATAGAACATAAAATGCCGTAAGGCCAGTTAGATCAGTTTGGGGAACTCTCTAAATGAGGTTAGAGGTGAAAGGAGGGCGAAAGACATTATTTCATTGAAAAATAATGGCATGAAGCCAGTCAATTAGCCATCCCACTAATGGATACTGAGGACTTCAGATGTGTCAGTCTTCAACCAGGTGTAGGATGTGGAGTATTATCAGTAAGGTCCCAGCCCTCAGGAAGGTTACAACACGGTTCTGGGCTGAGTGGTGCCCCCAAATCCCAAATCATCCAATGAAGTCCTAACCCCCAGGACTTGTATTTGGACCTAGGGCCTTTAAAAAGGTAATTACATTAAAAGGGGTTCATAAAGTGTGGGCCCAAACCAATATGGCTGGCGTCCTTATGAGGCAAGGAGATTAGGACTCACACGGGACAGAGGGAAGACCACACGAAGACCCAGGGGAAAGATGGCCATTAACAAGCCAAGAAGAGAGCCTCATGAGAAGGCACGTGCTGACCCCTTGATCTTAGCCTCCCAGATTCTAGAACCGTGAGAAGGAAATTTCTGCCGTGTAAGCCTCTTGGTCTGTGGTATTTTGTTGTGGCCGCCCCGGCAAACGAATGCAAACACCTGATACTCACACATGCCCCTAAAGACGCATGCACAAGGAAATGTAATAAAGCAAATTTTCGAACAGCAGAGAAACCCAGACGACGTGCCTATCAGGAGGAGACTGTTTAAATAAACTGTGGTTCTCCCACACTGTGGAATGCTCTGCAGCCATTACGTGAGAGATCTGCTGGTGCTGATGTGGCACATTCTTCAAACCCTATCCTCCAACAAAGGAAAGCAGAGCAGAACGTGGGGCACAGCACCCATCCCCTAAATGGAAGGATATGCTAAAAACTCAGAAAGCTGCCTGCACTGAAGGTAGGGCTCCAGAGTTAACTTTTCACTAGGTGCCTTTTACTAAGATTCGAATTTCTTTTTTTTCAACCAGGAGCATGTGCCCTTCTCCCCCCCCACGCCTGCTCAAATCTAGCAGACTGAAAGTAAAATTGCACATTTACGTAAGAAGCCCACAGCCGCTGAGCAGCAGGATGGCCTATACCTGGGGTTAGCAAGCCACAGCTTGAGAAGCCGACCTGGCCTGTGGCCTGTTCTGCGCTGCCTGCGAGCTAAGGACAATTCTTGTATGTTTCAAGAGCCATATAAGGGAGGAAAAAAAAAAGAATATACACCAGAGAGCTGTATGTGGGCTGCAAAGACTAAATGTTTATTATGCAGTTCTTTACAGAAGTTTGCCGACCACTCCTGTAAACAGGATGTTCAAAGCTGGGAGAGTTATCTGCGTCTGGAGGAGGTGGATGAAGGCAGGTCTGAGGACAGACCTGGGTCACCTCAAGGGTGGTCAGGGCTGACACGCCTATCAAGTGGGGCCATCTAGGCAGGCCAAACAGCAGGAGGGCAGACATGCACAGAAGCCTCTGAGAAGAGGGTATTGGGGCAAAGGGAGGTCTGCTTCAGCTGAAGGAGGGGTTGTAGGGCGTCCCAGGACAGTGTCAGAAAGTTCCAGGGGCACAGAACTTAGAGGCACTATCCCACATGCCAACCTAAGGACCCATTCCGGATGAGCAGGAGTGAATCAAAAGAGTCGAGGTAGAAGGCAATCATCAGGTGTGCTGGTTTGATTTGGTGGGTAAAGAAAAAACTAGGGCACAGATAAAAATATGACCTGCCCCAGACCACATGGCTAGGAAGCCCCCAGGTGCCTGGAAACATTGCCCTCCGGTTCACTGCGCTTTCCGTGGCCATGGGGGCAGAGTGGGAAGAGAGGAGATCGGAGTATTGGGGTGAGAAAAGAGAAAAGGGAAAAAGGGAAAGGGAAAATGAGCAAGGGAGAATGGCAGAACTTGGGCTCTGCCTCAGCAGCTCTAGGAGGTGCGTGCAGGGGAAGGGAGAGCCCCCCAGAACTCTGCACCCCAGCCTGTGGGAAGCGAGGTGTTCCCTCCAACCCGGCAGTGACCTCATTAAGCACAGGCACAGCCTGTTCCATTTCTAATCAGCAGAAAGAAAATGGGACGTGACGGAGGAGGGGCATCTGCTCAGAGCCAAGGTTCACCTGCTTGATTACACCTGCTTTTCTAAAACAGGCACAGGTACTGATTCCAGAACACCAATTCCAATGCATAGCCTCCCCAAGTTCCACGATGGAGACAGACTCGTCCATTCATAGAATCCTATCAAATACGCCCCACAGTAGCAGACAGATGGCACTTGAAAACCGTGATTCGGACATCAGCAGTATCCACAAACACCCAAATGTTTTCTTAAGACTTTAGAAAACTGATAAATATTTAACATTCAGTAAAGTGGCCCCACCACAGACAAGCACTCCGCTGTTTGCCCTTAAGTATGGAAGGAACACCAGGCCCATCAGAGAGGTTTTCCTTTTAGCCAGGATTTACAGGTAATTCTCCTCCTCTGGAGGCCTGTTTATGCCTTCCATCTCTGCCTGGCTGGCTTTGAAAGCCATTTCAGAAAAATAAAGTGCAAATTAAAGAAGGAAGACGAATGTCCTGTCCTCCCTCCTTTTCAACTTTCTACAGGGAACTCTACAGCTCACCAGTGTGTACTGGTGCAGAAGAGGAGGACAGCTGGGTGTAGGGGAGGTAAAGGTGGGTGGTCGGGACCAGCAGACATCTGGACTGAGCCGAAGAGGAGGAAGGAGACACACCAGAGAACCAGCAACCACGTCTCTAACCATCACTGGCTCAGGGGCAAATGCGTGTTCTGGACTGGCCACACCTGGCAGCGTCTGCGCAGCTGCCCAGCCCCCTCCTCTCCCAGGCAAGCAAACCTCTCCCTCCCTCCTGAGAAGAGGAGGATGTGCAGAATATGCTGCATAGGCAGTTACTAGATGGTGTCGCCGGCCTCGTGGTTATGGAAGAAGGCTCAGCAGAAGTAAGCAAGATAAAGGGCCACAGGGCAGCTGCAGAGAGGCTGGGGGCTTGGCGGGGCGACAGGGTTTACTCCCTCAGTCAGGCAGCTGATCAGGCTGTCCCAGGCCCACCTTTAGCAAATGACCATCCCGGAAGGGCAGTGGAGGCTAGAGGCACCTGTTCATCCACGGGACACAGACACTGCCAAGTTCCTGGGCAAACCTGAATGCAGGTCACTTCTAGTGGGAGCATTCTGGGCTACCTTGTACGTTTCTTCTTTTCTGAACTGTCTGACCTTTTATTAACAAGACTGTATCTTTTCATAACAAACAACAAGGTGATCTTCTGTTCCGAGTTCAAGACTTAGGACATGCAGTTCTTACCGAACAGCCTTGCAGGATAAACCAGAACCTCAACCTTCGTGTTTTGTAACCTGCTTTACAAGACTAAGTTCTTCTTGGGGAACCTGGGTGGCTCGGTCAGTTGAGTGTCCAACTCTTGGTTTCAGCTCAGGTGCTGATCTCAGGGTGGTGGGATTGAGCCGGGTGTCAGGCTCTGCACTGGGCGTGGAGCCCGCTTAAGATTCTCTCTCTCCCCCTTCCCTGCCCCGCCCCCCCAACCATCCCCCTACCCCCTGCGTGCTCTCATAAGTGCGTGTGCTTTCTCTCTCTCAAAAAAAAGGGGAATTGAGTTCCTCTCGCCGAAGCTGAGGCTGGTTCTGTGTCAACACTCATTTTCAGGGCAGGAAGATGTTTCCTGCCACAGATGTTCACATCACACGAAGGCGGAACTATCTGAGCGGAGTTCTGCGCACAGCTGTGCCCACGTGCACTGACTGGGACGGCGGTCATGAGGGAAGCGGGGGTGGCCGCCCTCTGGTCGCAGGGACAGAGGGGGCGGGGCGGCGGGGGGACTTACTTGTCGACCAGCCCCTTCTGTTTCAGGATCCGGTATACTTCAGCTGACGTCTGCGGTCCTTGGAGCTTCTGTCCGTTCAGCATCTCCTTCTCCAATTCTTCGATGGTCTTAAAATCAAGCAGAAAATGCTACTGTAAAGACTAGAGAGTCAGGTGCCTGGGTGGTGCAGTCACTTCTGTGTCTGGCTCTTGGTTCCGGCTCAGGTCACGAGACGGAGCCCCCATGTTGGGCTCCGTGCCAAGGGCAGAGTGTGCTTGCCATCCCCCCCCCCCAACCCCACCACGCACACATGTGCATGTGCTCTGTCTCAAAAATGAAGAAGTCTTCAGGAAAAAAAAGACCAGAGAATCACTTATTTCAAGAGGAGCGCTGCGGAGGGGAGCTGGCATCCCCCCTCTGCACAAGCCATGGAGAGACATGCAAGCTGAAGGACTCAGGCAAAGGTACTTTAAAGCAAAAGCAGACAAGTGGCAGTGGGATACGCCCAGCCAATGACAAACGCCTGCCTCCGCCTCCAGGTGACCGCGGCTCACCCCAGCCCAGAGGTCTCAGGGAGGACGCACGCGCCCAGGGGAGGACAGGCCAGGGGCTACCTTCCCGGTTTTGGCAAACGCCTCAGCCACCCTGCGGTTCCGGCCTCCGTAGCAGGTGGTGATGAGGTCAGCCACGCCACAGCTCTCGAGGAAGGTGGCCGTGGACACCTGGCCCTTGCAGAAGATCCTGGCGAAGGCGATCATTTCCATGAGCCCCAGGCGGATGACGGCAGCTTTGGTGTTGTCCCCGCTGTGGAGGCCGTCACAGAACCCGGCTCCCACCGCTACAATATTCTGTGAAGGAGACAAGGAAGCCCCAGGACACCTGTCACATGCCTGCCACAGACCTAGGCTGCCAGAAGGTGGGGGGAGAGCAGGGGACACACAGGGCCGCCTGGCCCACCCTCAGAACGCTCCACCGGTTCCCTCGCAGCCCCAGCTCCTACCCTTGCACCCTGATGGCCAGAGGCTCAAGAAGGCACCAGGCTTCAACGCTCCTGTTTATACGACCAAGGGCCCAGGTCTGGGGTTAGCAGGAAGCAGGAGCTGGGGAGCATCAGCCAGAGGATTAGAATGGCTGGCTGAAGGCTCTGCTTAGAGACTGTTTGGACAAACTGCCCTTCCCCCCCCCCCCCCTTAAACCGAATGCCTGATTGAATTATAGCATTCACATGGAAAGGTATGCAGGTCCCAAGTGTACGGCTTGGTGATCGTCTCACAGCGGAACACACCCTTGGAACCAGCACCCTGACTGAGAAACCGAACGTAACCAGTGCCCCAGAAGCCGCCTCTCACCCCTCCCAGTCCCCACCCTCACCAAGGTAACCACAACCCGGATTTGCTTCACCTGTCTTTCCAGTCTGTATGAACAGGCTGGTATGCAATCCTATGTCCATCTTTTTCTCAATTCAACATCGTGTTTGTGAGGCTGAGCTGTATTTCTACCTAGAGCACCTTTATTTTCATTGCTGCATTCGTTTTTAAGTTTTATTTTACTGAAACAATTAATCAACATACAGCGCAGTATTGGTTTCAGAGGTAGAGTTCAGGGACCCATGAGTTGCGAAGCGCACCCAGCGCTCAGGGCATCTGCTGTGTGAATACAGCACCATTTTTTCCAGTTGTTCTCCTGCTGATTGGCAAGGGGATAGTTCCTAGTCTGAGGCTACCGCAAATGCTGCTGCTGGGGCCAGGCCGGTGCGTGGCTCTGCGTGGCCACACGCAGTCATTTCTGTTGGGCGTGTGCCTGGGAGTGGAGCTGCTGGGTCAGTCGTCTGCAAATGTGCTGCTCAAGCTTCAGCCTTTTGTTTCACTGATTATCCCTATATAAGCATTCCGGGTCCCTGAGCTCTCACTCTCACGTGGCCCTCTGCCACGCACAAGGCAGATAAGACCAAGACCTGCCTCTTCAGAAGCTGACAATCTGGTTTGGGGATCAGCACATTAAGGGTGAACTGCCTGTTTCTGTGAATGTCCTAGAGGCCAGGCCCCACCCTGCTTGTTTGCACACCATCTGTGGCTGCCTGGGTGCTTTTTTTTTTTTTTTTTTTAAAGATATTTATTTATTTGACAGAGAGCGAGAGAGATCACAAGTATGCAGAGAGGCAGGCGGCGGGGTTTGGGGGGGCAGGCTCCCCACTGAGCAGAGAGCCCGATGTGGGGCTTGATCCCAAGACCCTGGGATCATGACCTGAGGCAAAGGCAGAGGCTTTAACCCACTGAGCCACCCAGGCGACCCTGCCTGGGTGCTCCTAACAGCAGATTTCAGTACTTGCTACAGACACAGACCGTATGGGCCACAGAACCCACAGCGTTTCCTACGCAGCCCTTGCAGAGAAAGTTGGCCAACCTCTGGCCTAACAGGAAAATAAAATGGATGCACATACCTCTAACCCGGGCGGAAAGTGGTAACCCGCAAGAGGCGCTAAAAATCTGATTGTCATTTCAACCTATGTGTACCAAGCATGCCCTGTGGGCTGTGGGAAGCTCTACGCAGGGCCCAGAGAGCAGTGCTGGGGGACGTGGGGGCTCAGGGTGCCCCCAGGGAGGAGCTGCCAAGACAGAATGGGACACAGAGCTTGTCCCTGATGAGCTGATGAAGATAGCTGGCATATAATGAACAACGAAGTGCACCCAGAACGTGAGAGTATGGAGTGGTAGGAAGAGTCACAAGCTTCATTTCAAAGCAGGGAAGGCTGCACCGAGGTGGGAGCCTCTCAACTGGGCCTCACAGCCTGGGTAAAACCAAACAACCATATATGACAAGTCCTATCTGCATGTGCCCACTCAGTAAGGACTTCGGTCAAGTCCCCCGGTTCCTAGCCCTGTCCACGTTACTAGCCTCTGCACTGAGCACACACACTCGATGTCAGGGAAAATACAAGTATTTTCCCTTGTCTAACCACACTAGCATTTTTCCATACTATCTGATGACTACTTAGGAATTTGTGCCTGGAGGGATCTTAAAATATGAAGCTAACTGGTAATGAACAGGAAATGAAATAAGCACATCTTTTCCTAACCCCTCCTCCGCCAAAAGTGTTTTTTTTATTAATGAAAGAGTATCTTTCAAAACATCAGGCCTATAAAATTTGAGGGAGGAGGTTAAAAGCAGAACAGACCGGGGAGGAAAAATGTCTTCTCTGGTTGATATGCCATTTCTAATAAAATACATCAAACCCAGTACTGATGTGGCCAGGCTCACCCTGAGAAACAGAGCAGCCATCTGAGCACAGCTATCGCTCACCAGGAGACCAAAGACACAAAGCCACTGCAGATGAAAAAGGAAAAAAAAAACAACAACCCCAAACCACTGAGCCCTGCTGAAGCTTTTGTCTACTTCCAATGTACCAATAAAACAGCACCCTTTCTTCCAAGTTTCGAGGGCAGAATGAAGAGGGCTAGAACAGGGGAGAGGGGTGGAGGGGCCCACAATCTATCTTGTTCTCTTCCTCGGGAATAATCCCAGGGCTTACTCTGGATGCTGGCTAGTCTTCTAGTGGCTACTGACATAGAAAGGGAAGAATAAAAAAAATTCTTTAAAAAATGATCAGAAAGCTGGCATGAGCACATGCAGATTTTAGATGAATTCCTTCTCCTTCTGTGCTCTAGAGGGTCTCCCAGTAAGGTTATGAGCTGTTCTAACAAACCAACAAAGCAGCTTTCAGTTGGATCACTCTTTCCCCCCTACAAAGGCTGGACTCCAGGGAGACTCCACTTCCCACAGCTGCGGGTAGAGCTGATGAGGAACTGGGTCTTTTGCATTCGAAACCCGAGATAGCTCATCTGGCCTATGTTTTCCTATGGTACTAACTTCTGTCTGTACCCGCAAAAGCCTCCCAACTCCTTCCTGCCCACATAAGCAATGGACACTGTGGGTTTCATCAGCCACCGACAGCATCCATCTTTCCCTCCCCAAGTACCTGCTGTGCGTGCTCAGTGACAGAGGAAGCAGGCAGCTCCCGGGTTGGCACACTCTTAGGCTCCGGCAGCCTCCCATGAAGAGAGGAAAGGGGAGAGGTGGCAGGAAAGGAGCCAGGATGTGGAGAGGTGAAACGACCCCCTAACCTTCCAGGCAGAGCACGATGCAAAGATGAGGGGAGATGGCAGGAACACCTAAGGGCTGGCTCCAAACAGATCCAGACACCCCTCCTGGCGGAAAAGCCAGACTAAGGAAACCAGGGGAGACACTAGAAGCACAAGCTCGGAAACCCAGATGGCCTCTGGCCTCTGGTTCTCACTTCACCTCACTGCTGTGTGACCTTGGGAGAATGACTCCACCTCTCTGAGCATTCTGTGCCTTGGGGATAAAATTCAGGGCTTGCACAGACTCTTTCAAGGCCCTTTAGGTGGTGACATTCCTCCAGGAAAGCTGTGCAGCTGTGGCCTGCTCACAGCTGGTAAGTAGGACGATCCCAAGGCAACAAAAAGATACCTGGGCACGGGGGTACTTTGCACAGAGGCCATGAGGCCAATTGTTGGATGAGCCTGCTGAATGGCTAAATTGAAGTTACCATGGCAACATGCCAAGGCCTAGGATCCAAAGGGTGAGACTGTTGAAATGGCTCTCTGCTGTCTCCTGGACTGTCCCATGCCCCCTTCACCACAACATAACCCATTCTGGAGGTTACTTGACCAACCAACTTCAGTGCATCTCTACGGACTTAAATGAGAGATAACGATGACTTCCTTCCAACAAGGGGCTCCTAGACACAGAGGAGGAGAGAGGGATTATTTACGAATGCCTATGGAGCACCCACCATGCACATGGTCTCCTCTAGGTTCTCCTGACAGTCCCTGGCTCAAGTGTCCCTTGCCTCCTGGCCCGCTCACAAAGGTTCCGTGGCTTACTGCGAACACGTCGCTGGTGAGTGACGCCATCCCAGGACCTGGCTCCCTGGGCCCACTCTGCTCCCCGGGCCTTGCCCCTTCCATGGTATGGCAACCTTGGCCCAGCCACTCCCACACCCCACAGGGTCGGAGACCTTCGTGAACCCTCTGCAATCAGATGTTAAAGGGGAGTGCTTCTCTGGCCTGCATGTGGGTTTGGGAGGTAAAAAGGGTAGGGTTAGGAGAAGAACCGATTGGGGGGGAGGGGGATAATAAAAATGACAGCTGACCTTCTTGAATTGCTCTAAGTGCTTCCGGTATTATTAACTGGTTTAATCTTCACAACATTCTGACAAGGCAGGCACAGTGATTCTGCTCAGGAAGAGGTGAGGAAACTCCCACACACAGGGTTATTAAGTAGAGGGGCCACCTCAGATTTGAGATAAGAACTTTCTAACAGGAAGAGCTGACCTCACCCAACCAAAAGGACTTGGAGGTGAAGGAGTGAGCTCTCAGTCACTGGAAGCATCCAAGCAGGAGCTGTGTGGACAAGCCCTGAGCTGCAGACCAATGGTTCTGACCTTTCATGTTACTGCTCTCAGAGCAAAGACAGATGAAGGTGCCCAAGGCGTGGGACCGCAGCAGCTCTCTTGGCCCTTCTGTGATCCCCTCACCGCAGGGCACACCGATGAGGACTACCTCAGTTTCTCCTAGATGGCTGACCTCCCCACGGTGGGGGCGGGGTGTTAGAGAGGAGCAGGAGGCCACTGCAGGGTAAATGCCTCCCTTCCAAGGGGACCCTGGGCACTGATCCAGTTTAATCGCCTTATTATGGATCTTGAAACCCTCTCTCTCTCCCTCTACCACTTAGCACTGTCAAAAGAAAAATAAACACACTGAGCCCGTCAGATCATGTTTGAATAGCATCGAGCAGATGTCCTCTGAGATCGCTCAGCTGTGAAAGTTATCATTATCCACTGTGCATTTAAATCTGCTTTAAACTATTCTGGAGCTAAAAATACCATGATTTTCAGAAGACAGACTTGCTTAAGCCCTTCCCCATTTCCTGGGTTATGGCAATACTCAGAGGCAATCATTCGCCCTCAAGTGCCGTCTTTGCAATTCTGAGCCGGGGTGGGTTGGGTGGGCGCCACTCCTTCCACTCCTAGCATCCCGTGGAAAGAACGCAGAAGTCGAGAAGCCTACCGGTGCAGGACTCAGGCTACCTGCGCGTTAGGCAAACACTCTCACCACGTGGGAGGCAGGGCTCCAGTGAAACCCAGGCAGTAATCACTACTGCCTATACCGGCAGCACACCATCTGATTCTACCCAAGGCCAGCTCCCAGGGCTGTGGGCCTAAGGGAGAATTCTGACTGCAGAGTGTAGGCTGACCCCGGGCCAGGCACTGTGTCAGAGCTTACAGGTCAGGCTGAGGTTCACGCCCACACTGAGCCCACCAGGCTGGGCGCCCTACAGTGATGTCCAGCAGAAGCTTCTGCAATGATGTAAATGTTTTCTGTCTGCTCATCCAACAGAGTCGGCAGCCACGGAGACTCCCTAAAGACTCATGTGGCGACCGAGTCTTTGAAATGGGGGGGGGGGGGGACAGTGGCTCCAAAACGGAACTCTTTATTTTTTTTTAAGTTTTAATTAATTTGGATGTAAATGCAATTGGCCACATATGGCTAGCGGGATCCAGCAGTGTGGCCCTGGCCAGACACTAGGCCTGAGGCTGTGCTTCACCGCGGGATTTCTCTCAGCCAAAGCACTGGGAGAAACTTAGATGCCCAGATATCAGGGGTGCTTAACCTCACTACTGAACATTCCTGCCAGGGAACGTCATGTGGCTGTAACACAGGTTATGGGGTTATCCCCGAATCTACTCTCCTCCTCCTGAGTCAGACAGTCCCTGACTTTCACGCAAGTGTATGGCTAACCAAGGGAGAAAAAAGAACAAAAAACAAAAAACCATTTCCCAACGTCTCTTGCAGCTAGGTACCTTTACAGGATTAAGTACTGCCCACTGAGATGAAGCCAAATCATTACATTGTGACTCCCTAGAACCTGCCTTAAAGGACAGCTATCACGTGCCCTTTTTATCCTTTCTTTTTTCCCACCCTACTGACTGGAAGGCAGACGTGATGACTACAACTCTCGTCGCCATTTTGGAACATGAGGACAAACACCTACCCTTGTGAGCAGGAAGGACTGGGTCCCTGAGATCCTGTGGAATGGAGCTATCACATGGATTCAGGACTTTTATGTAAGAAAGAAATTAAGTTCTACTGTGTTCAGCCACTATTATTTTGGGTCACTGTTAATGAAACCTAATCCCGATAAAGCATCTGTTAAAAATGGTAACACAAGTTGAGCTGTACAGTTATGATTTTTGTGCTTTGCTATAAGGACTGCCACTTAAGGTTTACATTAATACAAACAAAAATACACCCTCAGTGAAAGAAGCCACATGCAGAAAAGTAGATACTGGACAACTCCATTATGAAAGTTCTAGAAAATGCCAACTCCAGTGTACAAAGGCAGATCAGTAGCTGCCTGGCTGGGGTAGGAACTGAAAAGGGACATATGGAATCCCCTAAGGATGATGGAATTGTTCTGTATTATGGAGGTAATTTTCAGGGTATATGCACATAGCTGTTAAATCCCACTGTATTAGGGGGCACCTGGGTGGCTCAGTTGGCTGGGCATCTGCCTTCAGCTCAGGTCATGATCCCAGGGTCCTGGGATTAAGTCTAGCATCTGCCTCCTTGCTCAGTGGGGAGCCTGCTTCTCCCTCTGCCTGCCACTTCCCTGCTTGTATTCACTCTCTCTCTCTGACAAACAGATAAATGAAATTTTTGGAACAAAACAAAACAAGAAACCCCCCTCTATTAGGCACTTTAAATGGATGCAGTTTAATGTATGTGATTTAGGATTAAATAAAGTTGATATTTAAAAAAGGTATTCCCTTACTGGAGATTAACGCAGGTCAGAGATAAAGGAGATTCTGAAGACCATAAAATGCACTACTGCAAAATTATTTTGCATAAAGTTTTTACATTTTCTTTTTGGTTTTATCCTTGTAGTGAGCGGTTTGCTTTTTTTTTTTTTTGTAACTCAAATGCCCTCACGGTTTTGAGCACCAAAAGGAGAGTGTACATTTCTTTGATTCCTAGAATGATTACCAAAGACTGTTAATTTAATGCGAAAGAGTAAAATGTGTCAAACTATTTGAATAGTTAAGATCCAGTTTTTTGTTTTTAAAAGGGGCCGTATACATACCTATACTTGCTAAAAAGACTTGCAAGGGTATAGGGAAAAAAAAAACAACCAGTGGTGATCTTATGATGTAGGGAGTCTTGGTGACTTTCACTTTCTTTGCATCCTTCTGTTGTGTGAAACACAATGAATGTGCACTACTTTTATAATCAGAAAAAAACAACAAACTATTAGTTATGTAATAAAAGAGACGACGTCCCATTCGTCCTTGGTTGGCAGCCTCTGACAAGCGAGGACTTCATTTTATTCAACTGGACACAAACCGAAATAGTTGGGCTGTACACAGGAACCAAAGAACACCAAACTGAGATTCTTGGAACCCGCGTTCACACTCCAACTGTGCCAGTTATTCGCTACATTCGGTGATTTAATCTCTCTGGATCTCTGTCTCCCTATCTGTATGACGGAATGGTTAGACTCAGTTATTGCCAAAAATGCTTGTTTCTCAGTTTTCAAAAATCCCAGCTCTGATGCAAGCCGACAGGCATGATGGTAACTGATCCTGTTTCAAAGGATAGCCAGAGGAAGGATGATAAATGGTCCTCAACCCCCATCTGTCTCTGCACCCCCCACGCCCCACACAAACCAGGCTCTGCTCCGGTAGCAGGATCCACTTAAAGGTTTCCTGCCAACAAAAATGAAAAGCCAATCTACGTTCAGACACAAAACCAGCATGAGGTCCCATTAGCTGAAGCTTTTCCAGAACTCTCCATCTAGAATATCTCTTGTCCCCCAAGCCCCCTTTGTTCTGGGCAGGATCTCACAAGCTTCCCCATCCACCACCAGAAATATCCAGTCACTTAACCATTGTTTTGGACCAACACAGGCTGGTGCTGAGCAATTAGGCATTCATGATGCCCCTGCTGTCAGGTGGTTATTAGTTTAATGAAGGGCTATTAAAAACACATAAAAGTCTCAACCTAAAAAAAAAAGAAAGAAAGGAAAAACCACACAAAGCAGCCAAAGCCAGTGTCTTAACTGTGTATGCGGCCTGCCCAGAACGTGAAAAATGCCCCACACAAACTTTCAGAAACAGGGCCGTGTGCTGCCCCCAGGGAGCCTGAGCCTTTCACTGACTCTCCTTCATAAAATCCTCATTGTACAGGCACATGTGACCACACAAACATGAGACATGAATTCCACAAAGTGGTTTTAAACTCTGATGAGAAAAAAAGGACATATGTACAATCAAAAGAAAGAGCGGGAAGGCATTCGTTGGATTCTCGTCTTTTCAGCATACCTTCTATCTCTGCAATTTTTACCTGACAAAGCCTAAACCCAAGCCAGATTGCCTGACTTCCTGAGGTGCTCAAATTCCTGAAAAGCAGCTTTCCTACAAAAGAAAAGACTCAAAAGTGCCTCAAAGGGGGGTATTCATTCACACTGAGGCTTTTTTGGGGGGGGGGATAAGGTAGCTGATTCCACTGGAAGAAGGATCAGAAAGTGCAACCCAGCTCCCACTGGCTGTTTTCCAGCGTCAGGCCAGAGAGGGCCCCACCACCAAGACTTCCACAGGCCGACTGGAACAGGTCAGGAGCCCACGTGGAAACGCTTCCCTCTAACCTCCCAAGCCGCTGGCCTAAAGAAGCTGCTTCTTTCATTGGCCCATTTCCCTTTGCAGACAAAGATAAAACCATCCTTAGTGCAGCCTTTGTCAGCGGACTACTTTCCCTTAAAAAGAACCAATCAAGCCATCGAACTGAAGGAGTAGTGTAATTCAGAGAGAGGTAAGTCCCTTCCCCACTCAAGACAGTGTGTAAGAGAAATACAAGAATTCACAGGGGGAAAAAACACCCAACAATGCTTCGCTCCCCTGTAAAACTCTACAATCAAGGTACTCTCCATGCTTTTTAAGTATTAATTTTTAAATATTAATTTTCCAAAAGACAAAACACCACACTCCACACCACCCCCCACCCCCAATTTACAAATGAAAGCCAAGCGGAGTGGAAGAGGAAGTCCAACCACCCAGGACAGGCAGGGATAAAACAGGAACTGATAAACAAGGCTCTCAATTCACTATTCTTCCCTCAAGTAGGAGCACAGAACACAGAGCCCACTTTTCAGGATTAGATTTGATAATGCAGACAGCGGCCGATTAGCTTCTCTCCTTGAGCAGAAATAACAAGGCCGACTTTACCTTAAGAGCACCACAGAGTTCGACAGTGTCTGCGTCGTCTACCACAGTAATTCGAAAATTTGGAGTCTGCAGGAGTTCTTTGAAGAGAAGGCCATTCTCCATTATTTTGCTGCCTGTTGACAGGTTAGGAAATAAAGGAGTTAGTAAGAATGCCTACTCTTACAGTTTCGAGTGTTTTTCTTATTACCATAAGTAATGTATATTCATCACAGAAAATGCAGAAAATTCAGGAGTAGAAATAGAAAACAAAAATATTCCGTAATTCTACCACAGATGATCATTAGCAATTTGGCACGCATCTTTAACCTACTCAAATATGAATATACATAGTTCTTCTCAGAACTGGGAATTAACATTTCATAATCTGCTTTTCCCCATTTTGCGGCACAAGTAATTTTCAGTGACATATTTGCTACATCATTTTAAATATCTGCTTTGTGTTTCACTGTGTATGTGTGTTCTATTCTACCTATCTTTTCTATGTTTAATACCTAAAACTGTTGCAACTTTTGCTACCATTAACACTTACGAAGGCAACGTCCATGGTTTACATTTGTAATAGAGTCCCGTTCAAAACCACCCCTTGTCCTTTCCCCTGGGAAAGAGCGCATTCCCTTCCACTCATGTTAGGCTCGACCCCATGAAGTGCTTGGACTCAAAGCAAATGGGGCATATTTCCCTACCCCTTAACCTTGGACTCGGTCATGTGCTTTGGTCAACAGACAGGAGCAGACATCACGCAGGGGATTCTCCCAGCCCACTCATGCAGAAGTGGGGCTGTCGTCCTTCTACCTCTGCCTTCAATGTGACCTGAACATTGCCCAGCTCCCCCTTTGGGCCTGGCAGGAAGATGAGACACACATGGGCGGAGCCACCCAGCCCAGGAGCCCTGGCGGAGAGCATCCTGTCCCCAGGGGACCCACAGGTGTTAGCTGTGCTTACTTCGTGTGCCAATGCGCTTCTGTGATCCATACTTAGCATCACTATGGCAATAGAGAACGGATACAAACATCAACAGCTACGTTCACGGACCGAAGGGGGTAGAAGGAAGGAAATGCATTCAAAGAGTACTGGTTTCGGCTACTGCCACCTCCTGTCCCCTGGGACGGCACCTGGCATGGGATGGAGGCTCTGGAGTTTTTCCTTTGTCTCGTTTTGTTTTGTTTAGGGATTTGGGATTAAAACTAAAACAAACACAAATAAAACTTTACACATAAAGCCTGGTGTGAAACGCTCTAATCGGTGAGGGTGCAAGGGTGGGGCTCGGCTCTAGAAACCAGAGGATTAACTTTCCCAGCCACATCCAGGCCCCCAAGTCAAGTGGCCACACAGAGAGAGCAGAAGGTTCACTGAGGACTACGGTACTGGGGCTCTGCCTGCCTCCAGGTTCCCAAGGTTGTTCCCACACGTGTCTCTGCGCATTACAATCACCTGGGGATCTTTAACTACATCCCAGGCCGATTAAATCAGTCTCCTGTGGTGGAACCCGCATCAGTGGCTTTTCGAGCTCCCCAGCTGACTCCCAAGAACAAGTTTGCAAACTCTGATTTCACCTATTGCGGGTTCAGCTTCCTCAGGAGTGAAACACTATAGCACCCTCAGGACTGTTGTGGGGTTAAAGAAGCAGGTGTGCAAGAGCCTATTAGAGTGCATAGAGGTCCCACAGAATAACGATGGGGAGAGCTGACACCTGCTTATGACTGATGTTCACCATTTGCAGACCTAGGGGGCCCCAGAGAGGTTTATTGACGTGCCCAGGATCAACCTGCTCATAGGAGGCAGAGCCCAATTCTAACCCAGGTGCTTTGGCTCCAGGGCCCATGTTCTCTCTACGCTATGCTTCCTCCTGGGGGTGGGGCAGAGGGGGAGTGAGAGAAACCAGCAAAACCCAAGTAGACGTCACACAGCTGCATTCTTCCAGTGAAGAAGACAAAGATAATTGTCCACCACTACGATTCCATCCCTAAGTAATATAATGTGAAAATAATCCAGGGGAGAGCGGGAGATGGATGACGGATATCTGGGGCTCATGACACTGTTCCACCTCTCCTTTTGCTTTCTTTAAAGAAACTGTCCATAATAAAATGTTTCAAATCTCTACACCCAATCCTTAGAAACACATTTCCTATTCTACAAGTACTGCTTGTAGTAGTACTCCTATTCTATAAGCACTGCTTATTTAGTAGAGTTCTCCAAATATTAGAACTGTGTCCGTTTGAGCCAACTGTCCTCTTCCTTTTTCAAACAGTCCGCCAGACCATGTGGGTGACTCTGTGCAACCCTGTTTCGTCACCTGGGTTGGGTAAATCAACCCCCAGCCTCCACATCATGACATCATTACTGTCCTTCTCCTCCATCCCTCACCACGGGTCACTGCTCAGTGCCTCCAACACAAAGGACGAAACGGAGCTCCACAGACAAGCCCCTCGCTGAGGTCACTAATCCAGCTGTCTGCAGCTAGGCTTGAGCTGCTGCTGTGAGCGGACGGGACCGGCAACACAGGCAGGAAGAAGGGCACTCTCCATCTGCCACCGAGACAGGTAGGGTCGGTCTCCCAGGTCCTCTGCGGCTGCAAATTACAGTGTCCCTGACAGAGGTGGGCTTGATTGACTGCGATCTCACTTTTTCTCATTTGTACTTTAAAAAAATGATTATTTTAAGTCACAGGAAAGCACTCACTGTATTATTACTAATCCTAAGTAGTGAGGAGGGAAGCACGGACCCAGGCCATCTGGTCCAGAACGGGTAATGCCCAACAGCCACGGGGAAAGGCTGCCCCAAACCCAGTATGAACCAAACAGGGACTGTCCCGTCTGTTTCATGCCAAGTTTTAGAGATAATCAACCTATGTAATATGACACCTTCAAACCTTCCATTGTGTGTGTGATTCCATATTTGTGTATGTGCTCGGAAGCTCCACAGGGAGCTTATGTATCCTTGACACTTAGCAGATGCTGGATATGTAACAGGCTTTGAAAAGTATTTGTGAGGTGACAGTAAAAGTAGCCAGTTCTTGAAGTCAGTCCCAAGAATGAAGGGAACTCTCACCGCAAGGGGGCACCACAGTTCACCATTCCAGTTAGAATTTTTACAAGTGTCTGAAAAACAAGGCGGTTTTTTCTTCTTCCTCCACAAAAGACTCCAGTGGGCTGAAACTCCTGAACCTACCATAATTAAGAATGAGTTGGTTGCTAATGTCATCAAGAAAGGAGATCTGGATTAACCACAGCGCCATTATCGAATGCAGGAAATTTAATGTTGGTACAATTATCTAATATACAATTCACATTCTAATCTTTCCTATTAGTACAATGCTGTCTTTCATGGCAACCTTCCCTCCCCCACCCAGGATCCTACTGCATTTGGCAGGCACGTCTCTGGAGTCTTCTTTAATCTGGTACACTCCTTAACCTTTCACTGTCTTTCATGACATTGGCATTTTTTAAGAGTGCAAGCCAGTTGTTTTATAACATTATGTTATTTCCTCATGCTTATTTCCTCATGGTTAAGTTCAGGTTCTATAAAACAATTTAGAAACTATCACCTTTGGGTTTTAGTTTCAATATTTTACTTAATTTAATTCAGGTCACTGTTGCCAAGAGTGACCTGTTGCCAACAGACGTTGCCAATCTACAGAGAAGGCAGTGGACTCACTGGATAAACAGAAGCCAGAGGGAAAGAGAAATAATTTCTGATTGTCTTTACAAAACCAAAGAGCCTAATATGCCCCTACAGTGAACATGGCTTACAGGTACATAAAAATTCTAGCCAGAATCTATGGGTAGACACAGGTTTCAATCAAGGATTAGAGATGGGATCTCAGCCCTACAGAATGATTAGGGCAACCAGCCATTTCCAACCGACTGCCAAGACTGATTGCCAATTTATTACTGGCAAAATAGGACTGAGTTGGAACAACTAGTTAATTTTTTTAAATAAAAGTGATTATGTAATTTCACAGGCTACATTAGAATCACAGCTGGCTAAAAGAATTAACTGTGCAAGAATATAACCTATATATAGGCAGGTATACATACAACCCCCGCTCCGCTGCCCCCGGAAGAATACTTAGAAACTGCTAACAGGGATTCCCTTTGGGAAGAGAGAAGGAAATTACATTTTTTTTTTTTTTAAAGGATGCTATTCCAATTATGTAGGAACATTATGTTTTCAGTCTGGGGAATAGATGTGGAAATTTGATGTGTTTTCCTCTTTTTTATAGAACAATTCCTGTGACAAGAACAGATCACATTTTCCCTTACTTCTTACTGTTCAAAATGTTGGCACAGAAAGTTAGTTAAGAAATTTAATGCTTCTTTATGATAAGAGGGGCTGGCCATTTAATTGAGCCTTAAGGATTTTTTTTAAAGATTTTATTTATTTGACAGATCATAAGCAGGCAGAGCAGCAGGCAGAGAGGGGGGAAGCAGGCTCCCTGCTGAGCAGAGAGCCCGATGCTGCCGGACTCCATCCCAGGACCCTGAGATCATGACCTGAGCCGAAGAGGCTTAACCCACTGAACCACCCAGGTGCCCCAAGGCTGGAGGATGTTTACACAACAGACCTAATTCTTGGCTATTTTGTACTGTGTCAGACTATATCTGTTTCAAAGTGACTAATCTCATGATTTTATATACACAGCTCCAATCTGCTAAACAATTTGCTGAATAAATGAGATCAGCCAGCAAAGTTCACAATGTCTTCAGTAAGGCAGGGTTAGGTGGAGAGCAGACCCAAGACTATTCCCTTCTGCCTCTGTGATTTTTTTTTTTTTTTAAGATTTTGTTTATTTATCTGACAGAGAGAGATCACAAGTAGGCAGAGAGGGAAGAGAGAGAGGGGGAAGCAGGCTCCCCACTGAGCAGGGAGCCCGATGTGGGGCTCAATCCCAGGACCCTGAGATCATGACCTGAGCCAAAGGCAGAGGCTTAACCCTCTGAGCCACCCAGGCACCCCTGGCTGTGTGATCTTGTGAGGTAACTCATTCTTCATCTGTAAAGCAACAGATGGTCTGGGTGATACCAGAGGTTCCGGTTCCTTTCTGCTCTGCTGGTCTGTGATTTTCTGGAATCCCTATGATCTCTATGTGAACAAAATGAGCCCCCTTCCATGC